ATTTTCCCCCTTGGGTGGGGGAGAGGGTGTCTGGCTACTTTTGGAGGTTTCCTGGGACAGATGTGGAACTTGGGGTGTGCATGTGTTGTTGCTTTTCAGCAAAAATGGGAACTTAAGTTATGTCGGGGGATCTCGAGGAAGTCCCTCAAGGACCTTTATTTGAGCACAAAGTTGAAGTCTGGCTGTTCATCCAAGCATTTACCACCTCGAGAGGGCCATGGCATGGCTTCCCATCTTTCACTTTCCTGTTTTTCTTGTTGCTGATTTTGAATTTTTGGTTAAAGTCCTCTAGCTGTACAGCAGAGGTGCAGGGAATCACAGAGCAGAATAACTTCAAGGTCCTGAGAATAGTCCATCCCTTTTCTCACTAACTGGCACTTAATTCACTCTGAGACACTAGTAGGGGAAAGGATCTAAGGTTTTATTACTTACAATTGAACAGATCAAACAGCCAACTGAGAAACAGGACTGCTTTTAGGAACAGACTTCAACAGACTTCAAGGAGGGGGAAAGACAGAGCAGAAAGGCGGGGCTCTCTTTGAATTCAGAGATAGAAGGGAATGATTAGTTACCGCTGGATAGATTGATAGTTACCTCAGACCAGAAAGGTGCCTTCCAGCCAAACCTACTAAAGTCAGCATGCGAGGTTGCAAAAATTCCAACACCTGGATTGTATCTTTTTAAAAAAAGTTTTGAAATTGTCTGTAAAGATTTGTTTTAGGTTTTCAAAAGCTGGCCTCGAGATTTGTTAATATAGGGCAGGTTATAAATCTTTCACTGTAAATCTAAGTCACAAATCTAAGTTGTTGATCTCTTCCATGTTGCATCATTATTGTGATTTTGCCCCCATGTCCTTTCTTTGCCCAGCTCTGGAATGTCCTCCAAACAGTGAGTACCAGCTCTGTGGGACAGCCTGCCCAGCTACCTGTGCGGATGATCACGTTCCAAGCCAACTCTTCTGCCCAGCTGTGTGTGTGGAAGGTTGCCAGTGTATGGAAGGTTTTGTGCTAAGTCAAGGGGCTTGCATTCCCATAAGCAAATGCGGTTGTTTCTACGACGGGCGGCCGTATGGCCCCAGTGAGAGCTTCTGGGCGGATGACACCTGTACGAAGCGGTGTGTGTGCAATCCATCCACAAGGCAGGTGGAGTGCACCCCCAGCTCTTGCAAAACCTCGGAGCAATGCGGAGTGCGGAAAGGTGTGCGGGGCTGTTACCCTGTTGGGTACGGGAACTGTTCCGCCACTGGGGACCCGCATTATCTCACCTTTGACAACCTGAGGCAGGATTTCCAAGGAGCCTGTGCCTACGTGCTTACTGAGGTGTATGAGAAACCCAGTGACCTGGAGGGGTTCAGTGTGTATGTCCAGAATGAATATCGTGGAAACCGTGTGGTAACCTGGACCCGGAGTGTGCAGGTCAACGTCTTTGATGTTGAGATTATCGTCAGCAGGCAGTATCCTGGCAAAATCTTGGTAAGTTGACATCTAGATCTCATGAGCTGACATCAGCGGTGAGGCTAGTCTCCAAGGGCTGGTGAGCGGTAGATTTATATTGCAGTCTATGTCATGGGGCAGGTGTTTAGTTCAAATGCCTGGCTTAGAACTAGCCAATCCTGTATTCCATCCAACAGACACTTGACAATCCCTAGTGGCTGCTGTATGTCACAAGTGGGCTACATTTGGTTCCCTTGGTCCTAAGTCAGGGGTGGGCTAAATGCGGCCCTCCAGATGTTGCTGAACTGCAACTCCCATAATTCCTAGCCCACACAGCCAATAGTGTGAGGAGATTTGGGCCTAGCCCACACAGCCAATAGTGTGAGGAGAGTTGGGCCTAGCCCACACAGCCAATAGTGAGGAGATTTGGGCCTAGCCCACACAACCAATAGTGTGAGGACATTTGGGCCTAACCCACACAGCGAATAGTGAGGAGATTAGGGCCTAGCCCACACAGCCAATAGTGTGAGGAGAGTTGGGCCTAGGCCACACAGCCAATAGTGCGTGGAGATTTGGGCCTAGGCCACACAGCCAATAGTGCGAGGAGATTTGGGCCTAGCCCACATAGTGAGGAATGTTGGGATTTGCAGTTCAGGGACATTTGGAGGGCTGCACTTTGCCCAGATCTGTCCTAAGGGGTTCAAACCTGCTGTAACGCAAAAGGTGAGAATCGCTTTCAGTCTAAGGGACTAAATTCAATTTTGGAAAAGTTCTTGGATGCCGTATTTCAACAGCTGGTGGAGTCAAAAGCTAAAGGAGCGAATTTAAAAAAATGCAAGCTGTAATTTACAGTAAAGTTCTATCTGACAGTAATTTATGGTCAAACTGCATGATAAGCTTAAAATGTCATCAGAAGATGCATGCCCTCTGTAATTAGCACTATTTTTCACCAGACAGCTTTTTTTTTTTTTAAAGAAAGGTGTGCCCTCGTTCCTGGATTTGCAGATTAAGCCTATGTTTACCTTCCAATGACCAACCACAAAGCAGAGCACACAGGAATGCAAGATATGGAGGTGAAGATAAGCACAGGCTGTAATGAATGTTGATTAAGGGAGTGCTCCTTTTGAATACATGCTAAGTGTATTGTCTAGGTTGTCCCTGAGCCTTAGGAAAGGCATTTCGAGCTTTTCGTCGTCGTTTAGTCGTGTCCAACTCTCCATCTAAAAGTCTGGGAAATCTCTAAATGGTGGTTTCACCATGGGGAAAGGCTAGGAGTTCTGGTGACCCCCAGAGGGCCAGTTTAGGATTGCGAAAAGGCCAGATTCGTCTTTAAGGCAAAAAGTTGTCTAACCTTGCTGTAAGCAGTGTTTCCTGGTCCTTGTATACAAGCCTTGAAAAAACATATTTATTCAGCTGATTTCTCCCTTCCTTACCAACAATTGGGGTTCAAGGAGTCCCAGAACAAGATGAAGAGCCAGATACAATAAATTACAATATGCTACAATATTAAAGGGATGCCCAGTGTGGTGTAGTGGATAGAGCGATGGATTAGGATTTAGGAGTCTGGGGTTTGAATCTCTGCTCAGCCATAGAAGCTCACGGGGTAAGGTAGAGTCGAACTGGTATAAAGGTAGTCCTTAAATACCTTACTTACCTTGAAAGCCCAATTTGGGTTGATTCTAGGTTGATTCTGAGGTGAAGGCACATACTAACAAATTATATTAAAATGTTGTTAAGGGCATTATGATATTAAAGCACAGTTGAATTAAAAGTCGTTCTAAAAGAAATATAGCACTCCTTTTAAAAAGCCCTCCTTTAGTAGACAGACAGTTGCCAAAAGTTCATCTAGGTCTTTGGCTCATTGCGGAAGAATAACAGGAAAGAGGCAGTTATATTAGACTTTAAAGTTCTACTTTCTGGAAGAATTCACTAAAAGGTCCTACGATGCATCCCCAGATGAGAGTAGCAGAAGTTGGAGAAGGCCTTTCCCTCAAGATCTCAGAGCCCAGACAGGCTTGCTTGGAAGAATATGGCCCTTCAGATATTAAGGATCCAAGTTGTATCGAGCTATATAGGGATTATAGGTGAAAAGTGTTGCAGTTTTGAATTTCTGGTCAAATTACTCCAGCTGCGGAGCAGAATTGCAGGGATTCACAGAGCAGAATAGTCTCAAGTTCCCCAAAGTCCACCCCTTTTTCTCATCAATTGCCACTTATAGTCTCAATAACTCACTACCATAGCCCACCCATTTTTCTCATCAATTGGCACATAGTCTCAATAACACACTCTGAGCCATTAGTAGCAGAAAGAACAAAAAAGAAACTTTCATTTATTTACGGTTGAGCAGATCTACAGCAAAGTGAACAAAGATGGCTGACGAGCTTTTAGCAACCGGCCTCAACAGATTGACTGACTGGTTCTTACAGACTGGAGATAGAGAGAAAGAGAGAGAGCAGCGAGGCAGATCCGTCCTTGAATTCTGAGGTAGGAAGGAGCTATTGCTTTCTGCTGGGGTAGAGTGACAGCCAGCCAGGCCTCAAAGGTCCCTCCCAGCCACACTCCCCAGAGGCAGCATTTGAGTTGTAATAACTCCAACAAAAAGCCCTCCATGACGTGTATGCTTTTGCCTCAGGGTTCTTTCCCACTTATTTAGCGTTTATCTTTCTATGTCCTCTTTTCATAGGTGGGAGGATTGTTAACCTTCCTTCCCTACACCTCAGCGGGAGGACATGTCAAGGCCTATAAGAGTGGTATGAACGCTGTGGTTGAAACTCAGTTTGGCCTCACCGTCACCTTTAACTGGGACAGTCGAGCAACCGTCAGCGTGCCCACCACGTATATGGGCACCCTGCGTGGTCTGTGTGGGAACTTCAATGGCATTCGTGAAGATGATGCTTTTGGGCCCGGCAGCATTATTGTCCCCAGCATCCCCGTCTTTGGTGGTGTTAGCACGAAGGAATACGACTCCACGTGCCTTGAAGTCCTTGATCCCAAATGCCCAGGGATGGAAGCCCTTGCCGAGCAGCAGCGTGCTTCTGGCCGAGACTGTGGGATCCTTCTGGCCAAAGACGGCCCCTTCCGGGAGTGTCACGGTCGAGTTGACCAAGAGGGCGCCTTCCAGGATTGTGTCTATGATTACTGTTTCTTCGAAGGACACTACGCTTTCGTCTGTGCTGGGATTGCTAGTTATGCCGCGGCCTGCCAAGCGGCGGGGGTGACCGTCTACCCCTGGAGGTCTTCAACCTTCTGCCGTGAGTGCTGCCATGGTCCAAATGAGGTCCTCTTGGGAAAGGGGGAAACGGACCCCAACAAGTTCTGGGGACGGGAAACAAAAGGAAGGGACAGTGTAGATAAGGGTACAGGTTGCAGGAGCAGCAAGGAAAAAAGCAAACAAAACAAAAAGGGAAAATTAACAACAGGAAGCTTGGCTCTCTGTAGCAATAATATCAGAAGTGGCATAAATTGTCTTTGGAGATGCAAGGGTGGGCCTATAACCCTGCCATGCAACCACTGTACAGTATAACAGAAAGCGTTGTCTCTGATGATAAATACCTATAAATCAGGGACGGGACTTGTGTGAACCCTCCCAGAGCACTGAGTCTTTCCCTAATCGCTCCGCACGCATAGCCTGTGTCTATGGTAGCTGGAAAATTTTGGGAGTTGTAGCCTGAAAAAGTCAATACTTGACTTTGCACTAGGATCATTTATGGGGTCTAGGTCATGAGTGTTACCTATTGTAATGGTAGTGGACAGAAGGATGGACTAGAATTCATGAGACCGGAATCGAACCCGTCCTTGGACATGGAAAGCCACTGGACAGGGTGTAACTCGTGAAACCATTCTTCCTTCAGTATCTCACTTACATTGAGAACTCAGTTAGTGTCACTATCAGTCAGTTCTGACTTGACAGCACACAGCACACAGGTCAGAGAGGCATACATTTTAGCAGGTGAGACACATAAGTCTCTACTCTCCAGTGTAGGGGAACGGCCACAAGCCATTGAGGAAGAAGAACCAAGGGTGCTGATGCTTGCTCCCCATTATACACCTGAGCATGAATGGCAGTGCTTCCCAACTTTGCATCTCCAGATGTTCTTGGACTACAATTCCAGAAATCCTGGCCAGCACAGCTAGTGGTGAAGGCTTCTGGGAGTTTAAGTCCAAGGTTGGTAGGCATTGATCTATGGCCTGATCTTGATTGAAATGTCCAGTTTTGAGACGTTTAGTACTCAGTCTTAGGGGCATGTATTCAGTCCTGAGATCTGAACATTTCCTTTCTTGGACTGCATCTCCCAGAATTCCAGAGTAAACATGGCCACCATTCACCCTGGATGGGTTTTCCTTTTTGAGACCTGCTACCTGAAACAGAACTTCTCCAAGCTTTGTAAGGACCACGACATGAGTCTGCAGGACTCATTCCTAACGAGCCTCTGTTTTTACCCACAGCCCCGCCATGTGTGCCCAACAGTCACTATGAAGTTTGTGCCAAGAGTTGTGGCCAGAGCTGTGCCAGCCTTTATGCCCCGGTTACGTGCCCTGCCCAGTGTGAAGAGGACTGCGTGTGCGATGAGGGCTTCGTCTTGAGTGGCCACGACTGTGTCCCGATAGCCCGTTGTGGCTGTTTCTACCAAGGGCGGTACTACCCTGCCTTGACGACTTTCCACCCGAAGTGCGAAGAGCGTTGCCAATGCCAGCCGGGTGGAAACGTGGTGTGCGAAGTGCTGCCCTGTGGCCCAAATGAAGAATGCAAACTGGTGGACGGAGTCCAGAAATGCCACCCAACTGGAAAGGCCACCTGTTCTGTTGTCGGTGGCCTTTATCTTTCCTTTGACGGGTTGGCCTATACCTTCCAAGGCACCTGCACCTACATCCTCAGCAAACTACAGGAAAAGAATGTGAACTTGGAACCCATCACAGTCAGTGTGGAAAACGAGGCCTGGGCGAATGGGGAGATCATTGTGCCCAAGTTGGTCCACGTGGAGGTCTTTGGTGTTCATCTGACTCTGCTAAGGAACATACCGGGGCAAGTCTTGGTGGGTCCCTGAACACTGTTCTTTCACAGGAGGGCTAACCTGCTTCCCACTATGATGGGAAGAAGGCTAGCCCTCCCTTTTGGCATG